GGAGTGAACTTTTCATGTATTCTTAGGAAAATTCAGGCTGACTTCGAGGGGGCAGCCTGTGTCCTAAATGAGTAAGTCTTGGAGACTTTCAATTCAGGGCCTCCACTGAGACACTCACAAAAATTTGTTGGCCTCATAACCACAGAGCATTAACTCTTCGTGCAGGACCAGAGGAGAAGAGTCCCAGATTGGACTTTTTGTAGCTAACGTTCATTATATTAATGGAAATAAGCTTCTGAGGAATAAATTCCATTCTCTTGACCTACGTCTAGCTTACAAGCCAGTAAGTGTTATACTACATGTGGTAAAGGTGATAAATAACATGTTTTGTACATATAGAACTGATCCTCTGCATGGACCTTGTCTAGAGGTTTGGGAGTTTTGTTTTGAGCTTAAAGGTGCATATTCTGACTTAATCTTCTGGCATTTATGGGCCTGCAGTATCATGGCAGTTGATTTTTTTTAAAGGTAATCTATTATTGATCAAAAGTAACCAATAGCAAGCAGGAATGGAAATGTCTCGCCCGGGAGTGCATCTGAAGACTATTCTTGCTGCAGTTGGATTGTGTTTGTGTAACTTTAAGGTGAAGTTTCATAGGGATGGGTTTCCCTCGTGCTGCTGTTAAACTGGTGATTTTCACTGACGTGCAGTAGAATTAATCTGAATAATTTTTTTTTTAGTGTCTCAGTGAGTGAAGTCAAAGCCAGGACCATGTTATTCCTCATGCATTTCTCCCTCTGTCTGTTTACTTCACAGTCAGTCTTGGTCAATGGATAAGCAAACCTCCATGTGCATTGTCTTTGTGACAGGGATGTGAAGGATCTTTGCTGGTCCAGGGAAGATGAGAGTATAACTTGATTTCACAACTGTCGAAAAAGGAACGCAAGTTGCTGCCTTAAATGTTTTTCGTACTGTTTCTGTGTTGCCATGGGGTGGATTTTGTCCTAAATGTCTGTTTGTGTGACCTTGCTGTGGATCACACCCGTCCTCTGCCCTTTGCTTTTCTGTTTTCCCTGGTTTGGCAGTTCATCTTGTCTGTAGATACCTGTAGAAGAGCCCTCATGTAAAGCACATCTGGCACATTGCATTGAACAGGAACTCTACAACACACAGCACAGCTGGAAACAAATTCTGAAGAGGAGCAATGGCCTAGGAATTTCTTCTTCCATAAAGGACAAGGAAGTTCTGCTTGGTCCATTTCCCCTCAAACTGCTTTTACAAACCTCTTCTGCTCTCTGTAACCTGGTGATGTTGTGCTGCTGTGGTCTCACCCTGTCAGTGTGCCAAAGGCAGAGCCAGCAGCAACACCTTGAGCTGCTGAGCAACTGAGAGCTGTGGGAATTATCAGGAGAACTAAAGGATATGTTGGGAGGCAGCTCTTGTGGATAAGCAGCACTCCCTTTTTTTATTTTCCCTGACACAATACACATTTCTTCATTGTAGCTTTAAAGATTCATAACAGATAATTGTAAAGAACAGTCACAGTAATGAGGTTTGATGTGAGGTGTTAGATCAGCACAATTTGCTGTGGTGACTGACAATATTCTGTGCCCCATTTCTGCATGCCAGTAAGAACAGAAATTTGGACTAATTGTGGCAGTAGTTCTTTATAGTAATGGCACAGTAAGTGAGAACACAACACAGCTTTTCATGACAGCTTAGAAACCAGAAATATAAAATGCAGCCTTTTTTGTGGCCCTTTGCACAAGTGAGGACACATTCAGGACCATCAGATAATCCAGAATATATTCAACTTCAATATTTTAAAAGCTTCAACATGCACTGGATTGATTGCTGGACTTTCTCTAGAAAGCTTCTGGGATATACCAGCATTAGGTAGACAGTGACTGTGAATAGCAGATGGTGTTTTAACACTCTCCCTGTCATTAGTATTCTTCTACAGCGTAGTTTCCATGTGTGTCTACTCTAAAATGGTTATCTCAGCACTAATAAAAGCAATGGATACTTGGCTGCTGATTTGGGGAAGTATTTCCTGTGTTGTATTATCTCTGCATTGGAGATTTCCCCAAGAGCTGCTTAATGCAATGTCTGCACACACAGAAAGAGGCTGCTCTTACTGGAGTCCAGAAATACTTGGGCATTTTCAAAACCAGGTGATTTTGACAGGTACAGCCCCGACCATCAGAATAGAAAAGAGCTTGGAATTCAGTGTTTGTTTTAATCCCCATGTTTCTCTCTGACTTTCTCTTTCTTGTGCTGCAAGACCATGCCTGGAGCTCCAAAACTAGAGAGCACCCCTGTGGCAAATATACAATATATGTCTGCTGCACTGCCATCATTTGGATCAGGAGCATCCCAGTGGTGCAGGTGCCCAGACTGTGTTGTCACAAGCTCAGTAAACAGCCCAGGTTGTGAGTGGTGCATACCCTACTTACAGCTCAGGAGTTGTGTCCTGTAACCTTGAAATTCCCTCCATGTGGAACTCATGCTATCCAGATATCTCTGCTACTTTCCGTGGACTGTGTTTTGACAAACAATCAAAGGGAAGCTCCTCAGGTTGATTAAGTACGAGGGGGTTTTGTTGTTATTTTTGAATGTTGCTTTTGTTGAAATGCTCACTTATTTCTGATGTTCATCCTCCAGGTAGGTAAAATCTGCACTTTGGCAAATGTGTGCCTGCTTTACACACCCAAGTCCTGGGGTGTGAGCACTGGCCAACACTCACCTGTGTGCAAAGTACACTCACACTTTCCCAACCCAAGCTGTGTCCTTTAACAGGGAGCTGCCTGAAAACGGTGCCAGAAGTAAGGAGAAGTAATAATGTTGCACAAACTAAGGAATTCAGCAAGAGGATGCGTAGTAGTGTTTCCCAAGACTGGTTTTAAGGGAATTTTTAATCAAATCTCAACCTGCTTTCAGTAGTTTCAAGCCTCATTGAAGTAACTAGGCCAACATCCACAGTAACAAAGTGTTTGTGTGCTGCAAATGTATGTGTAATTTTGTAAAAATTGCCAATTTTATGTAATTTGCTTTATCTGATTTGTCTGTCAGTGGGAGCACAAATCCAGTGAAGTGCATAGATCAAAGGGACAGAAAAATGAAGTGCATCAGGAGAAGTGATAAGGGACTATGCAAAACAAATTAGCTTTCTTTTTTCACTTTACATTTCACCTTCTTGCTGCTACATTTTTTTCTGCTACAAACTGTCACCTTCTGCTTCCTCAGCTAATCCTTTAGGTTCATTTTGCATGTCAAAATGGTGCAAGCTGCCACAGTCACTGGCACCCATTTCCTGACTGTCTGAAACCCCACATGTATCTTAGAACACCATTTGTGTCAGTGTTAATGCTGTAGCTTTCCAGCCACTGCTGCCAAGGTGAGAAAGAGTTCGAGGAGAAAATAAATCAAATGGTTTCATTCATTTGTTGCAACACAACATAAGAAGGTGGCAGAAGTCCCCTTACACCGAATTTCAATCAAATCCAGCTAATTATATTTTCTGCCTGCATTGTGACTCAATTAGAAGGCATTTATGAATCTGCATGAAAGTAAAATGAGGACACAGTGCTCAGACATATTGTTCTGCTTCTTCACCCATTACCAAGGAAGTGACTCAATAATTATATTCAGTTTAAGAAAATGCTTTGGGAGGAAATGTTTTGTAACGAATTTTAAAAGTACTGCTTCAGTTTTTAAGCTATTTCATCTTTAAATATTAAATGAGAAGCTTTGTTTTGTGTTATTGTTTGTTTCTATTTTTTTTTTAAAGGTTTCCATTTTCAGTTTGATTTGTAACAAACGTGACACCTGAGACAAAGCACAGGTTGCCTCAGTGAACTCACAGGCAGTTATTCCATGGCTGGCTCTCACCTAGGGTGTGACACGGGATGCCATTCCAGCTCTGACTCCCAGACAGTGCAAATACAACCCTGACAGAGCATAAAGTGTATGATGTGGGAAGTGGCGAGATTTTGGTGGCACCCCTGTGTCATGAAAGGTCTGTGATTTAACTTCTGCAAACAGAACCGAGTTCAGGGACAGGCTCATGCAATTACTGTCCCTACAGAGCAGTAAATCACTTAATACTGAAATAACACTTCTTTTAGTGTAAGACAAGACAGCTACCACAATAACATAACACAACAGAGAAGGAAACACACTGCAGACACTTGAAAATGGCCTGGAAACGTTGGTTAAAGGCTGCACTTAGCAAGAACAAAAAGTCACCTTTTTTTCAGTTCCTGGCTATAATTTCATAGCCATCTTCTACTAACTGCACAAACTTATGTCTTTTTGTTGCTGCTGGATTACCTTCAGGACTTCTCTGATCCAGACCTTAGACCTCTCCAAGAGAGAGAGAGTTTAAGTTCAGGGTGCTCAGAGTGGTGCGTGATGAACCCAGTGAGTCAGCTCCCAGTGGCTTCAGGGGGGACAGTCTGACAGTCCTGCTGCTCTCCTGCACTACCAAACCCAAGTTTCAGCTCCAGAGACAAACACCAGCTCGGGATGGAGGCGAGTGAACGGTAGGAACACCTCCAGCAGCAGCGTGTCCCACCCCTTGTCCTGCCCAGGCGCTCGAGCAAGACTGACCCAAAGGGAACAGGCTGGAGAAGGAGCAGCACCACTCTTGGGAGCACTCGGGGGTGTCCTGGAAGGTTTTCCATCCAAACTGCCCTGAGTTCCTGGGATTAGACCAGAGCAATCTCCTCAAGCACACACTTAGGAGGCGTGGCTGACGCTCATTTTTCCTTCAAGATGCCCTTCTTTCCCCTTCCCAGAAAAAAGTGACACTTCTTGCAACGTGCAGAAGCTGCAGCTACACTTGGATCTCCCACATAACACAGCTGAAATATTGTCCTTTTTTAGCACGGAGTGACAGGTTGTGATAAACAGACTGGTTTCTCTGGCTTACAGGTGCCTAGTCAAATATTAAAGAGCCAGCACACAGAAGCATGAAGTAATCTTTTGTTTTTCATTAAGTGCATAGATTAAAGAGATGTTGTTTTACTGTAATGCACAGAATTATGTCATTTCAGCTTAGAGTAATTGTTCATCACATCACATTGAAATGATCCTTGGTTTTGTTTTAAAGAGCATAGAAGAACAAGAAGTAGAGGAAAAACAGAAGTAGAAATGGAATGTGAGACTATAGTGAAAGTGAGTGAAAAATTCCCCTTTTTATCCAGTAATGCTGATGTTGTTTTCATTTTACATGTCAAAACTTTAAGTCAGGAGCATCCACAATTTACTGCCTGGTGGTTTTTCTGAAATCTTTGAGCAATAACAGCCCTGATTATTACCTGCTAGCTGCATAACATAAGCTGCCACTGACCATTACATCCTTTTGATACCGTGAAAGCAATTTGTGGCTTCTTCCTATCATACCCCACCCCATTGTCTCCCTGCCTGTTTTATTTACTGCTGCTTTTGCCCCACCTCAGTGCAGTGGTCAGGGGCTGTGTGTAACAGCATGATTGTACCAGCTTCCTTGGCACAGCCCTCTGGGTCATGGGAATGTCCTCTGTTCTCTGCTCACAGTAGCTGCAGTACTCTCAGGTTAGAAAACCAGGCACCACCAAACATCTCTCTGAAAAGGTAATTGATGTGGGGGTAGGAACTGAGAGCTTCTGAATGTGGAGGTATGAGATGGGCAAAGGTATTGAAAGGTAGGAATTCTGGGTACCTCTGAAGATTAAGCTTTCCAAGCAGATAAATTAAGGATTTGTCATCTGGGACACCAGAGTACAGGGATAAAGAAGGGATTAACCAGGGCATCACAGCAGAAGGAAGAATTGGGGTACAAAGAGAAAGAACTGATGAATGTGAATCAGTAAAACAGGATTAGTGAAGCCTAAAGGGGAAGATTTAAAGGTAAGAGAGTGAGTTTTTCAGGGAGGGGGAAGGGAACAGAAGACAACTGGGGAAAGGCAGGCAAAGCCTGGAAGAAAGATTAAAGTAGATTAAAGCAAGAGAGTTTCTTTCATTGCTTTATGGAAGGCCTAATGATTAGAAGATGCTGATAGAACAGAGTATTATTTCAGGTGTATCTGCTATCAGGAGGCATGATTATGTGTAAGCAAACTTCCTGTATCCTCCTGTAAACACAGCCGTGCCAGGAGGTCTTGGGCTTTCACTGTCAAGGGGGTAGTGCTAAGCCACTCACCTTTGTCACTGAATCAGGGAATCCTGCTTGGTTTGTATTTTTATTTATTATTTCACTTTATACTGCTTTCTTCTGGAATGCTTTGAGATGCTTTGCTTGCCTTTGAGGAGAGAACCACCACAGTTCTCAGTGAGGGCTGTGTTTGGTAACAAATCCTGCCTTCCTGCTGCGGTTACCTGGCTGCAGAGGATTTTGGTTCATTGCCAGGCAGGCAGTGTTTGCATTTCAGTGTCCTGGGGTGCAGCTCACTCACGTGTGCAGGAGGAACAGGAGCCTTCTCAGGAGAGCTGCAGCTCCTCCTTGCTGTGGAACATCCCCCTGTGGCTTTTCACCCCCTCCCACAGGCTGTCCTGTAATTCAGTCCTTCCCAGGGACAGCTCAGGCTCCGTCCTGGGAACTGCTCCTCTCCCTGGGTGCTGCTGGTCCCAGTGTGAGCAGGGAGGGCACAGGTTTGCTGGGAGCCCTGCTCTGCTCCCTGGCCAGCACCACTGTGGGGGTTCCTCGGGCTTTCCCCTGGGTTCTTTTATTTGCCTGTCTAGGGGGGTTGTATTGGGGGTTTTGGTTTTTTTAAATACTTACCATGTCTGTATTTCTATGGACGTGTGCTGGTAAGAAAGACAGAACCAGCTGTGACTTGCACAGTACAGATTGACTTCTATACTTTACTGAAAGGCAAGTGCTAAGTTGGATTTATAAAGCAACTATAACTTGATTTGTCAGGCTTTTTTTGCTGTGAATCACCCTTCTCTGGCCACACAAACCCCCACGTGTATCTATACACACCATGACATGCTTATGGTTTATTTGAAGGTTTTTACTGTTGCATAATAAGGATCGTTTTTTTCAAATGCTTGTTAAAAATAACACAATTGCAAATGTTGTTCAGTTCTCTCATTGTGGCAAGGTTAGAGATTAAAACTGTGAGGTGGGGCCTTGATTTCATGTGTTGTTTTCCTCTTGGACACAGGCAAGGCAGCTAAAAGTGTGTGTTTCCCGAGCACAGTAGTTGTGACAAAAGAAAACAGAGCCCATAATGAATATGTTGGCACCTTGACAGTATTCAGAAGAGAGACTTACTGAAGATGGCAAAATTAAACTGGCAATTGCTCACTAGGGAACTGGGATTTCTTTGTTGTTTGTGTGTAAGTGACAGGAGAATATTGATTTCTCCTCCTGAGGGATGTGCTGTCTTCCTTTCCTGAAAAGCAGGAGGATGGGAATAGAGATGAGCTGCCTTGAAACAACTCACTGAACATTTGAAAAAGCAGAAGTACTTGTTTTAACTCTGTTCTCCTCATACATCCCTTACACTTTAAATAATATGAGGCCAACCTCACATCTCCTGCCTGCCTCAAATTAGGATATCTTGGGAGGATGGTGGGGACCTGGGCAAATCCAATTGCTCCTGCCCAGTTAGAAGGAAATCAGACCTCAGAGAAGAACCTCCTGTGGCAGCAGTTAACCACTTCTGACACCACTGGAGTTTTTCTGTCCTCGGCCTCATCCTGCTCTCAGGATTTCAGCCTTATAGACTGTGCAAAGGGAATGGTATTAGGAGAAGCTCTGCATGGTGGAATTACCATTCAGTGTATCCGATGTATGCAAGGAAACTGGGAAACAAAATGGATTGGCACCGAGTACTCAGGGAGCTCTGAAATGGGGGGAAGGAATCCATCATGCCGAGGTCTGCCTCGCTCCAAAGCAAATACGAGAATGGTATGAAGAAACATTTTTTTTATTCCACCCTTTTGTGCTCTAAGCTCTCACTGCTGCATCCACAGGACGAGGCATCTGGAATGCTTTGAAGTACCTGGACAGGAGAGGGCAGGCAGAGAAGAGAGTCAGTTTTTCCTGCAGGCCAGAAAGGAGTGTCTCAGCTCTGGCTCCGGTGTAGAAAACCACTGGCTATGGGCTGAACAAACTGATGACCTTAGAGAATATTTCTGTGCTGGAAAGGCACAGAATCCTTCTAAGCCACAATAATAGCTGGGCAGAAATCTAGAGAATTGCCTGAATTACAGCTTCATTCAGGAACTGTTTGAATCCTCTAGTGACTACATGTTAGAAAGCTACAGGAGGAATTTAGTTCACAGTTTTGTTTGTCAGCAGTAGAAACTTAAGATCAAATTTTGAGACAGAAAATAAAAAAGAATGTAGAGTTACAAGTCTGGTCTTAACATGCAACTTTTTTTTTAAATTCTGTGCAAAATGGCTTTTCTACGAGGATGTTTTTGCCAGTTCATCAGAACTCTAAAAAGTAGGGCCTAAAAAGCTACTGCTGCACTTCCCTCACCCTTTAAGCTGTTTCATAGGAACAACTTAAGTGCATGGTGGCTTTCCAGCGGGGCTCCAGCCATGTGTAGGTGTTGTCTAGACTGAAGCTGTCCTTTGTTCTAAACCTGGAATGTTGGAAGCCTTTTGCTGGCTGTTGCACACAGTTCAGCGCAGTACAGTGTCAGCCTCCACGTTTAATTACTGCATGGCCTGTGGGAATGGTGCTGCAGTTGTGGAAGCTCACATTCCAACAGCTTTATTTTCACAGAGTAGGTGTCAATGCCTGAATAAAACATACGGTGTGGAGCTCATGGGGGCAAATTATTTCACAGCCTGCTGATACCAAAGGTTAGTATTTCTAGAAACAGGTCACAGTCACTTATCTGTGGTCCTTCTTTAGATTATTTCTATTAGTATATTTAGAAGTGCCTTGTTTGGATCAGGGTGTTATATAGGTTGGTGAGATCTCTGTAGTTAATATTTCTGCTCTTAAAATGCTCCTTTCTGCTGAGAATTTTGCAGGTTCAGTTTTCAGGGCAGAGTTCAGGTTTCAGAAATCAGTGCTCCTGATGGGACTGATGGCCTTGGCAGCAATTAAATGTTTCCCTGTTCTTTTACTGACACACTTTATATCCCATAGCTTGGATGCTGCTGGAGGTGTGAGAGACAGACGAGCCTGTAATGCCAAACAACAGGGAAATGGCAGGAGCTCCTGGGAATGATGGCTCACTGTCAGTCTTTTTCTCAGGGAATCATTGTAATTCCAAGCAGGGGCTCGTGCTCTCCATGGCATAATGGAATAAATCCTGCAGTAACTTCTCCCCAGTTCCATGTCAGTGTTAACATCTCCTCTTGGCCTGGAGTACCCTTCATTCCCATTTGTATTCAGACAGGCACTACTGCAGCTCCCACTTGAAAATACTAATTGGTTGAAAATTAATTCAAATTTTTAAATTATTACTTAGCTTTTTTACTTTTGAAGTGGTTTTTGGTTTTTTTTAAGGACTGGAGTTAATTTCTTGTAATATCAGCTGCCATTTAATGATTGCAACTCATACACAGATTTAGTTCAGAGATATAAACCCGTGCTTGAGGATTCTAATTTCTGTGGAAGGAAGACACCATTCCCAAGATGTGTTTGAGCCAGCTGAATGCTGCCTTTGGCTCCTCATCCATGCTGCAGGCAGAGAGGATTTGGGGAAAAAACACCTATCGGTGAATGGCTGCACTTTTTAAAGTAATCCCTTCCCTTGGTCAGGCCCTGAGGACAGGCCCACGCTGTGCCTCTGGCAGGTGCCAGCAGGAGCCAGCTGGAGTGGTACAAATGCCAAGCTGTAGTTCCAGTGTTATCAGGGAAGCAGTGTGTGACCAGACAAGAGAAATCCAGTTGTCCTCAGATCTGCTCTGCAAAGACAGCAAGACTTAAAAGAGTGGTTTGAAGGCTTCTTGGAGAGCCTGGAGCCATAGCAGCAGGAGAGAGAGAAGCTAAAATTGCTGTCTTCTCCTGATGTATGGACCAGGTATTCCTCTGCATCCAGCCTCCCCCTGACTTCTGAAGGAGTAACTTAACAATTTAAATTCCCCATCTGTTGCATTTGTAATGATCCCATTGCAGAATCTCCTTAAGCAGCCCTGCTTTAGGTTATGTATGTTGCTGTCTTTCCTTTGCATTAATCACTGGAGTGTTTTTCTCTTGTGCCTGGAAACAGCCACAGTGTTG